TTATGAATGAGGAGATGGGAAATCGCTGCTGTGAATCAACACAACCCAGGTGGCTGATAACCATCTCCTGAAGTCATTGCAGGCAGAGAGAAAAGAGAGTAAAGGTGAGGGAGAATCACAGATCTGATGCGACCACCACTGGCAACATGACTGCAGGCAGCCATTTTTCCATTCAGTGTGGCACAGAAGAATCAGTATGAGGAGCGAGTGGAGGATGAGGGAAAATTGGTCATACCAGAGAAGTGAATAAGTGCTTAGGAGCTTATTTTAAAAAAGAAAAAGAACCAACAGCACAGTTTGCAAGGAAGGCAAGGGTGGAAATTTGCTATGACTCAGGCAAAAAATTCAGTGGAACTGAGGGAGAGGCATGCTGCTCCTTTCATAAACACATCAGCATGGACAGGAATGGCAGGATCAGCCAGCGTGAAAAGAAACCTAGCCAGTACAGCATGCTGCAGGGTGCTCTGTGCAGTAACTACATTGATGCCAGAACAAGATGAAAAAATACGTACATAAAAATTAGACAGTCCCACTCTCACAGTCTAGGCTACAGTGGCAACATACAGCTGTTTTCTGAGGCTTCGTTCATAGAACCAGGGCTTGTAAGCTCAGTGGAGGAAATTAACTCTGGAAAAAATAACTAATGGAAAACACACTTGAGATGAAGACAGCTACACCAATACATAAATGCATGTACGTGCAGTACACACACGTACAAGGAGAAGCTGATGTAGAGAAATCTTTTTGAGCCTCCTATGGAAATACTTAAGTGCATATATAAAAAAACCAAGGCATCATCAGTCCCATGGGGAAGAAGACATAAAATGCTGCTAACACCTTCAGTTATGATCTTTCCTACATGTGTGTTTTACAGATAGGACATAACCATATGTTCAGTCTGATCTTTATCATATGTGGGAAGGAAGAGACACTCTGCTGTAGCTTTGTAGCTATAAAATCACCCCTATTCATTTTCTTCTTTGTACAGGTCTTTACTAAGAAAGTTGTGTATGTACACAGAGCCAGGAACACAAAGATTTCAGAGAATCATTTGAGTTGAAGATTCCCTTAAAGGCCATCTGACCCTGCTCCCCTCCTGCAATAAGCAGAGACACCCACAGCTCCATCAGGTGCTCAGAGCCCCATACAGCCTGGTTGTCCCCAGGGACAGGGCATCCACCACCTCTCTGAGCAACCTGTTCCACTGCCTCAATACCCTTACGGTAAAAAACTTCTTCCTTATACCCAACCTAAATCTTCCTTCTTTTAGTTTGAAACCATTTCCCCCTGTCCTATCACAACAGAGCCTTGTAAAGAACAACAGAGATGGCTGGAAGGTATCACCTTAAATTCCATAGGAGCACAAACAAAAATAGTTCACCCACCATACATTTTTCTGTCAAGTTTTTGCATACATTTTACATGCAGTGTAAAAGACATTTCGGCTTAAGTGTGTCAATAGGCACCTCACTTGGGATCTTAGGCAGAATCCTAAGGCTAAATCTTCTCCAGTATGCTATGTAACAATTCCACTCAAACATCTGGATGCTTGGGATCTCAGTATATGACCACTTGTATATTATGAAATAATACTCACAGAATGGTTTGGGTTGGATGGGAGCTCAAAGCCCACACCATCCCAACCCCTGCCATGGGCAGGGCTGCCCCTCAGCAGCTCAGGCTGCCCAGGGCCCCATCCAACCTGGCCTTGAGCGCCTCCAGGGATGGGGCACCACAGCTTCTCCATAGGTCCCTTCCAGCCCCTACGATTCTGTGATTCTGTACAGTGAGATGAACTCCTGCTCAGCTTTGCTAAGGGGTGTAGCTGCAAACAGGAAAGTGGCAGCCACATTCCTCGTACCGGGCAGAGACACCGGGCTGGGTTGGGGCCCGGGCCCCGGCCTCTGCTCCATCAGCTCTTGGGAGTAGAGTTTGAATTCGCTTCTGTAAGACCAGCAGAGGGAGCACAAATCATTAGGTACCAACACTGCTCACGGAGAGAAATACCAGAACCCACTTCCTTGTAGTTGGATGATAAAACTTGGCTGGTTTGGTAATTAAATAACACTCAGTGAAAGGGAATACCGTTACTAGAACCTAAGCAAAGCTGACATCACCACCATTTTCTTTTTGAGTATGCCTTGCTTTTGCTGTCTTTGGAAAAAGGAATGAGCAAGGCAGCAATTACATCTGGTACCAATTATGAGATTCATTTTAAGATGCCAGAATCTGCACAACAAACAAAATTAATTAAAAGCATAGGATTTTTCTTTTTTTTGTTGTTGTTGTTATTGTTTCTCCATGGCAAAACATTGAGACATGGTCAAGCATAAGATAATTTGATTTTACATCATTTGCTATCGGATCAACTAGCTCAGACACAATGCTTGTATGGTGGTAGGTTGGCACAGAGCAGCGCTGCCCCTCCGCTCCCTGCGAGGAGCTGCAGCCGCCATCAGGCCTCCCCTCAGCTCCTCTGCTCTGCGCTGAGCACAGCCAGGGGCCTCAGCCGCTCCTCATACCCCTCCCTTCTAAACCCAAAGATACCACTAAAGGAACTGTCTACCAACTGTATTTTTAGCTTAAAGTATCAAGAGTCTGATTCTGAAATGAGATTTAAGAAAACCTTAAAAACAAAATCCATTCCAGAAGCAGAAGCCATGAGAAAGTCATGGCATACGTGACCAGCGTGCAAAAAATGGTTACCAGATGCTTGTTTCCTTCTAACTAAAAACCCCATGAGAGGAAGCTTCTGCTGCGCTGTTCATCCTTGTTCCAGATTATATTCCAAGTGAAGGAGACCACATTCCAACACATTCCAACAATATTTCATTGAGTAAGTGCTTCAGGTCTCAAATCCCATTGTTTTGACTGAGCTTGCTTACATATGTCAGTTCTCTACAGTCTACACAAAGTGTTTGGCTATTAACAGGGCTGTATCTGATCCCACAGTATAATTCTAGTGGAAATGGTCAAACGTAATTCCTCTTCAGATTTCTTCCAGACTAAAGAGTTAATACTAATTTTCTCTTGGAAATATTTTGAACAAGGAAAGAAGATAAACACTGAAAGTGTCTTATTCTTTAGAAGGACTTTGGAAACTGGAAAAAAAAACAAACAGAAAACCATGTGAATGCAGTTCCTCTATGCATTTGTGATCAACTCAACTTAGAAGCTAGGCTGCTCAACTTAGAAACTAGGCTGCTCAACTTAGAAGCTAGGCTGCTAAAGTTCCAACTTATTTTCCAGTAATTCTGGATACACCTGAAACAAGAAGAATGTGAATGCATCAGATATGTAAGAATTTATTTTTTCCTGCTTATTAGATATTATATAAGCAGAGTGAGCATTTCCATGATAAGGTTTTGTTTTTACTGCTTCAGGAGACGTTAACAAGAACCGGTTCATCTTGGAAGCACACTTTCTTTATAAGTGTGTGTACATTGCACATATCCACACAAATGTACATATTCATTACAGTTCATTTTCTTCTGTATTCTCATTTAAAAAAAAAAAAAAAAAAAAAGGTGCATTACTTGCAAATTAGGAATTCTGCCCATTTTGATTAACATTTGCTGTAGCCTTTGCTATCGGTTGAGGTCTGACAGCAATATTCCCTCCTATGAAATTGCTGTTTTCCAAAGCACCAAAACCTGGGGAGGCAAACAATGTCTTCACTGGAAATAGTTCACAGTTATCAAAACAATGTTCTGCAGTCAGCTGCTGAAATACCAGAGGAATCCTTTTCTCTAGATGGACATAAAAAAAGGTACAAAAAAAAAAAAAAATCCAGAAAACAAATAACACCCCTCCCAACCTTACTTCAGAAAAATGTTTAGAATATCTTTACTTTTGAAACATCCCCGAAATGAAAATACATCCCCAAGCCCTACTGTGGATATAGGTCACAAGAATAGCAGTCTGAACTTGAAGTTGTTCAGGGAAAAAAAAAAAAAATACCCAAGAAGGCCCATTAGAACATAAAGCACTATGAGGAACAGTTGCATAAACAATTTGCATTCTCACAGTGGAAAAGCAAATTTGACTTTGAAAGCAAGATTACTTTGAATAGACCGCACAAAGAGCCAACTTGATACTGTGTTTCATCTGCTACAGCCATCCACAGAGCGTCTTACCACTGACGGTGAGGTGCTGCCGTTCCCATTTGTCAGTTTAAGCTCTGACTCAGACAGTGTCATTGGTACTTCCATTCTGAACTGCTTAAACCATGCTTGTTCCCACGTAAGCTCTAATTAAGTTTTTATGCGATATTCTTCATGCAGTGTTTTTCTGGAAGGACAATAAGACAGAATCATGGGGATTTCCAATGTGCTATAGCTTCAATACTGCTATTTTGGAAATAGAACCAAGAAAGGGTTAAAGAAGTAAATGTGCAAAATTTATTAAGTTCTTCAATGAACAGCGGAACATGACATTTATAAAATTAGAACACATTTTTGAGATTAAAAAAAAATACAAAAACACCAGCAGTTGCTTGCTGTAATACACAATGGCCCACGTGTAACTCAAACCCAGTTTATTCTAAGTCCATTCTGTCGTAAAAAATAATCTATAAAAAATAAAAATACTTTGACAGAAGAAACTAGTATGCAGACAAATATAACTGCAGCATCTTTACAATTTGTACAAAGAGTTGGCTGTTGGAAAGAAAAGGCTGAGTTGGAAAAGCTGTGAAGGACAGTGTCCTTGCCATGCTGTTAGAAGGCATTTTCTAAATACAACTTGGATATTTGTACATACAGAATAAAGTTTCACATTCACAAATCCCATTCAGTTACAAGAGTTCTAACCTTCTGGTTAGAGAAGAAAAAAAAAAAAAAGAACAGGATATTCATCTTAATATGCCTTATCATCAAAGTAATTGTTGAAATATTTTTCAAAGTATTATTCAGTTATTTTATGTATTCATTGGCTGCCATTCCAAATGCAGCACAATGCAGTTTGACCATACCTCTATTTACAAAGCGCTTCCACTGTGATTTTATTTTCCACAGTGGAGTGCCTTCTCCCCACTTGGTACTTGCCCACTTTAACCAGTGCTATGGGAGAAGAGCACCCCAATACACAGCTTCACACACATGGAAGTGGGCACTGGGAGCACCTGGCAGCCATGGCTATAAGGAATTTTAAAGGGATGCTCAGAGGATTTGCCTCGTTGAGGCTGTTGTCTTCTTTGCTCTGGATACTTTCCAGAGCATACTTTGCTCTGGACTTACTGACTCAAAAAACACTGTCTCCAAGCAGCTGGAAGATGCCAGAGAAGTATTTGAAATGGTATTTGGCATCAATTTTCTTTTGCCTGCATAAAGATGATCTAAGGACTCTGTCAAAGTACACATTGGCACACAAAATAAACCTGTAAGAGAGAAATCCTTCTTGTGCAACACAGTAGGCTTTCATCAAGGTTATAGCTTCAAGTATACGAAGCATACAGATCTCTTCTCTGTATTTGGATAGTATTCCTTTTATCATCAGATGACTATTCAGTCAAAATGGTGTAAGCTACCAGAACTCCGTCGTGCTTTAACTGCAGTCAGCTGGCAGCAGAGAAGGTATTTAATTTTCCAGTAACAAAGTGCAGATTTGAAAACTTCAGAACAAGGATCCCAAAGTCATACAGTCTTCATTAGGCCAAAGACTTTCATAACTAAAAAAAGTTCAAGTGTTTATGATACTACAAGTCCCATCTTTGAATTTCATTTTCATAGAAGTTATAGTATGTCCTTTCCTAGTGCTTCTTCTGATCCTTTGCTCTGTGAGGTATTATCATCGTAAGAGTAATTCCCTGAATCTTGACTGCTCTGTTTGAAATGTCTGCAGCCTTTAAAATCATTCTGATTTACTTCTTCTGCGATGCTACTTTCAATTATGTAACAAATTTCTACTGGTTCTTCCGCAGCAGGCACAAATGGACTGCTAAAGAGCTGTCCTCCAAAGCCCTGCAAAAACAGAAGCGCAAAGAAAGATGAACATTCATATACAACACCTAAAAAATAACCCCACTTAACATGAAAGCCATACAACTACACTGTACTGTATCCAATAGTCACAAATTTTTCTACCTATAGCATGCAACCTGCTCTCTTAAGTTCAGGAATAAAAAGTTGTCACAAAATTTAGCTGCATTTATACATTGTTCTAGCAACCTCAACTCTTCTGCTATGTTTGCAGCTGTCAGTCATGTATGTAATCACAATACTTCATTGATTACAGCCTTGAGACCACTCAAGAAATAAAAGGAATGAATGAAGCAAGCTGCTACAGCACGACACCAAGCCTTACATAGCTCTCAAGAGTGCCGCTGTCTGTTCTATGTGCTTCAAATCTATTCTCTGAAATGGTTTTTATATCAAATAAATACACAATATTAATTCTGTTATCAGTATTCTACTGAACAAAAGAGCTAAAATGCTGCCTTACAAATTAAGGTCAGATTAGCCCTTGAAAACTACACAACTAGGGTTAAATTATAGCTGTGTTCAGAAAGCTCTGCACATTACATATCATAAGAGCCCCAAGGAGAAGGTGATACATTAGGAAGGCTACACACTGCTCAAGTCAGTGGTCTGGGAAACACTGAAGAAAGCTGTGTGAGGAGCAGTTCTGGATATGCTTCAATACAAAATCATGATTCTATTATACACTCACATTCTAAAATGTATCCACATTTATGTGTGGCTCTGGGATCTAGTGATCTAGAATGGGATCACTATTAAGTACTATGCCAAGCAGAGCTTGGAAACTGCATAATCATCCTTTTTGGGACTTGAACCATAAGGTCATCATGTCAAGAGATGGCAGACATTTGCTATATCAAAATTTCCTCCAAAGATTGAACTTGCATTTTTACCTCCTTTGAGTTTTAAAGGACAGGCAATAACAACAGTTCTTTGATCACTCAGCCTCTCAGATGATAAAGAGACACAGAAGATATGGCAGAAATGTAATATGACTTCCACAGAATACACAAAGCTGGACGGACGCTTCCAACATCCAATTCTCACCAGCTTCCTGAGCCAGATATGGTTTCTGTTTATTTTAGTAATGTTTCATTCAGTTCTCTTCTACAAAGATGCCCTTGATCCAATTAACCCTTCCTGTATCCCAAACAGTCTTATGACCAAGAGATCTGTAGGTCTGCCTGCTTGAAGATGCTTTTGTTTTGAATCTGGATCTTAATAAAACCATTCAATTCTCTCTAATTCTAATAATGAAAGAGCCAGAAAATGCTCTATCAACTTCTATGCATAGAACCACACGATTGTTTTGGTTGGATTTTTAAAGATCATCTACTTCCAACCCTCCCCGCTCACCATGGGCAGGGACTGTTAAGAGGTTGCTCAAGCCCCATTCAACCTGACTTTGAATGCTTCCATGAAGGAGGCATCCACAATTTCTCTGGGCAACCTGCTCCAGACGCTCCTCATCACAAAAATTTCTCCTCATATCCAATGTGAAACTATCCCGTTTCAGTTTTAAATGATTGTCCCTTCTCACTACAAGCCCCAGCATTTAAAAAACAAAACAAAACAAAACAACAAACATAAGGTGAGCTTACACAAGAGGCCACAAATTCAGAGCCTTCTCTAAGCCAAACAACCTGAGCTCTCAGCATTTCTTCACAGGAGAGGTGCTCCAGCCCTCTGACCATCTTTATAGCCCTACTCTTGAGATGTTCCAGCAACTCCATGGCCCTCTTGCATTGGGAGTCCCAGACTTGAATGCAGTACTGCAGGTAGAGCCTTATGAGTAAAAAAAGCAGGCAATCAACTCCTTGACCTGCTGACTAGGCTTCTTTTGAAGAACTCCAGGATATGACTGCCTTGCTTAGGCTGCAAACACACATTGCCAACTCATATCTACCACTAGTATCCCCAGGTCCTTCCTTGCAGAGGTGCTCTCAGTCAACTCCCCTCTCCAAGATACTCACGATTCCCTCCCAAAGAAACCTTCAGATAAACTAGTGAGGTGTAATGCAACAAGGAACAAACAAACTGGAAGCAATAAAAATCAAGTTTTATGCAGCAAGAAAATAATGTCAAGCTGGTAAGTGAAAGGATGTGAGTAAGTCCCAGTGCCCATTCTGTGTTATGCAGAATTCTAGAACATGTTACTTCTCAATTTTTCCCTTGGGCATTCCTGCATTTTGTTAAAAAGTATACAATTAACCTGTAAGACTACAAGATAACAGAATCACTTCTTTCTTTCCATTATATTTTCTGCTTAAAGAAAAATAAATCTCATCTTACCTCTATGTTCAGAGGAGTCCGGCATGAAGGAAAGAACATGTACTTGATTTTATTGTAGGCTTGATACAGGAAAAAAATAACCAGCAATGCCACAATCAAGACAACAATCAGCGCAGCTACAAATGTTGCTAAAATGATCAGAGGTAAGCTTTTACCTAAAGAAGGGAAAAAAAAACCCAATAAACCAAACACTTAGTCCAGGTATCCATGAACTAGTACCAAGATTGTAACAGATGTTTACCAAATCTGACACAGTGCTTATCATAGAATTTCGCAATCCTACATCACAATAGCCAGGCACGATGATCATTATGAAAATGATGTCATCCTTATACCTTAAGTAATTTCATTAAAATCACAGCACAAGAGATTTATCAAATATGAGAACACAGGAATCTGCATACAGGATCAGAACCAGGATCCAGTGATTCCCTCACTACCCGAAGGCAAGACAGAAAGGCTGCCCACAGACAACCCCATGAAGCACCTGATGCACACAAATCTGTTACCCTGCTGGCTCTGGCCCCAGACTACATAATCTGAAACTAATGGAAATACGGGAGTCAACGTTTCCATGTTATGGAAATTTCCATGGGTTATGGAAGGAGAATGAGCAATTAAAACAGCAAAGTTGGCTGCTGGCTTTTCAGTTAGGAAATGATTAGAATGGCCAGACTTGGAAGACCTCTGGGAGCACGAAAGAGTTTCTTTGACAGGAAAGGAACTCCTGTTCTAAGATTCAGATGACTGCGGCCCAGTCAGTAGGGAGAAAAAAGATCTAGCAAGCAACTTATCTATTCCTTTCAGACGAGTATCTAGGAATAAAAGAATCCCAAGCATATTCCAACTATTTCCTATACTGGTAATCTAGACACCTGCTCAACTTCTTTCACTAGTACAGAAACCTATTTAAGTACAGAAACCTATGTAAGTATAGAAAGATGAGATAAATTTCACTTCAGTGCTCAAAAACGATCCTGTATTCCTGTTCCAACTCAAGAACCATAGAAAGGCCTCTAACAGGCAAAGTTCAGTTCTAAGACTTAAATTTTGAACCTTGTGGTAGAAGAATAGAAAGCAGAACACAGCTTTTGATAGCAAAATATTGTCATCAAATAAACCTTTCAGCTGAATAGTCATAGGGTGTTCAGTAATTAAGTTCAAGAGTTCTGCAAGCTTCCTTCTATTCTACTCCTCTATTCTACTTTGCAACATATTCTCTCTATCAAACAAACCAACTGAAGGGAGATTGAACATACTATAATAACAGGAAACACTTTACAAATAACCTAGATGAGACAATCGGGACTTTTTAATCTCTATTTCCAGTTAGTACAAGTGATCAAAGAACAAAAACATTCCACACAGATATAAGAACATCTGGGAAACACATGGCACGATCTGTGTGACTTTCTATCCCAATATGGAGGCTGGAACGTACTTCTTGGTCTTTAGTAGTTTAAGTTCAATAGGGCAATATGGGGAAATCCAATCTTTAACCAGTTGAACAATTAAAGAATTTATTTTATGAAACTAAAAAAAGGTAACATTTAATTATTTTTAGGGTTAATAAAGACAGGAAGTGAGGACTATATAAATCACTACGTCCCAGAAGTTTATTATGTGAGAAAATAATAATATGACTATTAAATTTTCTTAGTATCAGTTTGCATAGTTCTTTATTTCTACTAGTGCTAAGAGCTCTTACTAAAAGACAACAAGCCAAATTAAATTCAACAGGTTAACATGCCCTGATGTTGACTGAATATAACCCATCCTCAAACCTATTTTCATTGTGCACACAATGTGCAAACAAGTCAGTAGCGAGTCTGAGTGTTTTCATCTTTATTTGTCCCCTAAAGTGCCCCCTCACACTTTAGACTAGGATTTTTTTTTAAATTAATTCACAAAATAATTAAGACAACTCAAGAATAAAATGCTCTTAAAAATGTAGCACCTAGAGATTCCCTGCACCCTCATAACCATATTTAGGAAGTAATGGACATTAAACTGTGCTATTAAGAAGCTGGAATTAGGTTTAATTCATAATCATTACAGTGACTATTCTGAGACAATTTCTAAACTCAGATGTACTGTGGAATAACCGCAATGCACTTTTGTTGAGGTCAGAACAGAAGTCGTATCAGTACAGCAACAGGACAGAACACAGCAGCAGTGACAGACCTCTGCCCAATGGGTGCTGACTTGGCAAGGCCGTTCCGTCGTGCTGCAAATACTTCCTAACTAGCAAGGACTGCAAAGGCCGGTGAAGTGCTAACAGTTTCAATTCTGTAGGTGTAACGAGTCCAAAGTTCATCCTACCTCCAGGTGTTCCAATGCATTCCTCTTTGCTGAAATCACTGCTTTTGTTGTAAGCTACTGAGAACGCTTGTACTTTCACACAGTACAAAGTTGAGGGTGTCAGATCTGAGACTGTCGCTATTGTCTGTTTTGTTTCTTTCATTTTTACTTCCTCCTGAAAAAGAGCAAAGTAAGGTGCACATACGTATTGTAAGAATCACTCAACCAATCAAGAGTTTTGGGCTCTGCTGTAGAAGTAATTCTGTAAGTAGCTTTGAATAAAACAGAAGAACCACGTAACTCTAAAGCAAGCCGATTCAGAAAACATTGATTGTCAAAAAGATACCATTTTCACCATACCAAAATTTTGCAATCAAAACTGATGTACTGTGTGCAAAATTAAACTCCTTCCAGTTACTGTTTTCCTTTTCCCACAAGTTTATACACACACATTTCCCGATTACGATAAAAATATTTTGCTCTAAGAACACTTAAAGACTGTGAGGAGATGTATTAAAACATGAACTGGAAACATCCATGGCTTCATTATTTTATTATACATGTAGGTATAAAACTGCAAATACAGAAATAAGCATTTGAGAGGCAAGAATCTACATTAGGACAAGACTCCTACAGAGATACTGTAAGAAAGAAACCTCTGTTCAAAAGCAAGCCATTTGGCAGCTTTATGAAACTCAGAGCGTAGCTTTACAAAATCATTACACTGCCACGTGAATGAAAAAAGATCAAAATCACCTCAAGTTGTAATGCTAGACTTTTTAAAAGAATCTTTGACAAAAACAAACAGGCACCATGACTGGCACACCGTGTACGTGCCTCTTCTGAAAATAAGCTTCTTGAGAACTTAAATGGACTGCTCATGTCATAGCAAATTGCATACACTGTTTTAAGCACTTGACGATTTCATACCTCGTTATCTGATGAATTCTTCCAATACAGAATCTGGTAAGATAAATCGTAAAGGTCACTCATGATTTCACTCTCAGGTCCTCCTGGAGGAATAATCTTGACATGGAGCAAAACATCACTGATGTCCACCTTTATATCAGGAGGGCCAATTTCATCTTCAGACGTTAAAAAAAAAAAAAAGAAAGGTTAAAAAAAAAAAAAAAGACTGACAGAATAGAAGTAACAATACTGAATAAAACACAGCCATTTAAATCTATGAAATTTTTTTAAACGTGTGTTTAAAACCCTGACTTGACTAATAGTTTCACCTGTACACATCTGTATGCATCAGGGCAGCTCCGAAAGCACTGCCTCCTATTTTACTTTGTTGACCCATGACAACAGAGGTGGATGTTGGCGGTATGGCAGTAAAGGCTGAACCTTCCCCCCAATCTGCCATTACATGTTGTTGTCATGTGGCACACAGCAGCAGAGGGGCGGTTTGACATAACGGCGTTTGACACAGAAGTGTGTATGAAGCAAAGGTGTGTAACTGAATTCCTCGTGTGTAACTGAATTCCTCTGTATGGAAAAAATAGATCTCACTGATATTCACCGACACTTCAAGGGAAACCAAAGACTGGATGCGAGTACAGTGAAGCAGTGGGTGATGCATTTTAGCAGTGGTAAGAGACATGAAAGACAAGCCATGGACAGCCATGCACAGCTGTCAAAACTACAAAGCATGTAGTATGTCTTAATCAGCTCATCCATCATCAGTATCTACAGAGGAGCTACAGGAAAGAAGGGGTCAGAGTCTTTAGCAGGGTCTGTGGTGATAGAACGAGGGGAAAAGGCTTCAAGCTCAAAGAGAGTAGATTTAGGTTAGATATAAGGAAAAAAAATCTTTTACGGTGAGGATGGTGAGGCACAGGAACAGGTTGCCTGCCCAGTGATGTGGTTGATGCCCTGTCCCTGGAGACTTTCCAGGTAAGGCTGGATAAGACCCTGGGCAACCTGATATCTTTGGGCCAATGAAGGATGGGCCGCATGGGCAACATTTTCCTAGCAACGATACCATCATAGCAGCTGTGAAACAGCAGGTCACATGAGCCACCTCCACGGCTGCAGACATTTACAAACAAAGCATGCAGGCCCTTGTTTATCAGTGATGGAAGCATACAGCTAACTGTGGTGACTACATTAGAAAAATACTGTTTTGTAGCTGAGAATTCGCTCTATCGAATTGTGTTACTCATCTTTTTATCTGTGGTACTTTCCATGGAATTAAATAGGAGGCATCACTTTCAGAGCAACTCATGTAGCATCAAGTACAAGTTGGCTGAGAAATGAAAAAATTTAAGAAAGAATATCTCCTTACTCGTTACCAGAGGATCTACTCTTATATCTTTAGACAAACATGATTTATTATATTCATTCGTGGCCTGCACACGGAAGTAATGAGATCCCGAAGTAGGCTTGATGACAGACGACAAATTGCATTTCATGTCAGTGATGTTCTCACATCCTGATACCTTCCGCCACTTCGAGGAATAATCATCATAAAGGCTCTTTAGGTACCCACTGCAAGAAACATTTCAATGTCTTTTTATGATGTAGGGCCCACAAATTTAAACAAACAAACAAACAAACAAACAAGAAAACTAGTTCTTCTATTTATAAATGAAACAATGAAGTCAATTAAATCAGGAAGTACAAACGAATGCCTTACTTAATCCTCACTAGAAAAATTTCCTGTTGTAAAAATTTTTACAATTCAAATTCAGATTTTTCAACGAGTTCTATGAAGTTATTTTTATGTCACGTTGAAGGAACTCCAAAACAATGCTGCTCTTGATGAGCTCTCTCTCATCATTTTGATGCTAGTCACAGTACTTGTTCCACATACAACTGGATATTAAGATGCATGCATTTAGATATGACATTTTCTTTTTCAAATGCTGGAAAGTGACCAGAAGTAATCAAATACGTTGATAGTTGAAACCTTGAACAACAGCCTTTTGCTCATGACTTCTAGTCATCTAATTTCTTCACATTTAAAAAGGTACAATGAAATGCAAACTTCTTATCTTATAAGAAATGCTACTTAGAATACATAGAGTAGTCAATTCCGCCAGGTAGTTAGCACTCCTAAGATAAGACTAGCATTCAGAAGTTCTGAATTGCTGATTGCTGTATGCAATCCTTTAAAAAGCCACTAGATGAATTCAGTGCTTCACAGAATGTGTTGAAACACACTTACAAAGTATTTAACTTCTAGCAAGCATTTGCAAAAGACAGCATATGCCATTTAGAACTACACTACAGAGAGATGGAAATTGCTTAACTCACGTGAGATACTGTACGGTATAGTTCACATGTTCTTTATAGTGATTATCCCAAAGCAGATAGAATTGCATGTTCAAAGCAAAAGCTCTCACATTCGTTGGACAAAGAAGGTCATTTACTGCTCAAAAGAAAAAGCAGAAGTTACTGGGTAGTAATAAGCTTTGTATCACATACAGCAATTCCTCACTGAGCGAGCATTCCTCACACAAATGGTCATGGTACACATTCAGGAAGTTTACAGAACCGTAAAACAAACAAACAAACAAACAAAAACAGTTATGTTTGAATTATAAAGATGACAAACTGATATGCTGTATATACAACAGAACGTAAGCCTTTAACAATAAAAGCATTAGTTTAGTTCACTACAGTTAAAATGAAGGAGAGGTGCATGGAGATTTGTAGAAATAAACTAGTCCAGCAGTGACTTGCCTAGGAAACTATGTGAAATATACACAAACAAACACAAAGCAGTTTTGATGCATCATCCACTCAATCTAGAGTTTAATTTTCTACATTCCCACACTGTAATTTTTCCTGAAACACACATTGAGGAATACTTAAAGACACTTGAACAGTGCACAAAAGAATTTAAGTGTAGACGTGCAAAGCAAGCTATTAATTGCAAGCAAGTTGCACACAGGAATTCTTCAGAATCTGCAAAAATAAAGTCCAAAAGGCTTGCATAAAAGACATTTTTCTAAGCCTGGCTCCACTTCATATGCATTCATTCATTACCTAATACACAAAAGTATTTTATTGTGTCAACACATGCTTCCCTTTCCTCTTGATTCAAAGTCACAAATCCAAAAAAAATATCTAGTTTTCCAATACAGAGAAAGTAGTGTTCACAATCCAAATCACTGGACAGAATTTGCCTCCACACGAAAACCTCTGTGTACTATAAAAACTTCTAATATCAATAGGCAACATTTTACATTGGTTTAAAATAGCAAATTCTAAATAACGTGTGATGATTGCTGCTATAGCAAAGAAGGAACCTGTTTGAAGTAAGATGACTTCATACTTTACCTTCATGGGTGGTTTTTATGCAATGGATCGGACTGAACAGGCCTTCTTGATAGTCCAGAAGAATAATTGCTTGAACTTTCAAACAATAGGTAGTCTCTGGAGCAAGACCATCTATTACATCCATAGGTAAAATCTTCTGATTTCTGACCTATAAGAGAGAATTGTGAACAGTATATGAAGATAACTGCTCTTCCAGATGAGCTGATTTTCAAGTATCCCTTCCACCCACCAGGTTTCGGTCTATTTGTACAATATCACAGGAGCATAGGATGGTTTGGGATGAAAAGGACCTTTAGGATCACCTAGTCCCAATCTCCTAGTGTAGGCAGCGATATGTCCCTCTGGACCAGGCTGCTCAAAGCCTCATCCAGCCTGGCCTTGCATGCCTCCATGGAGGGAGCATCCACAACATCTCTGGGCAACCAATGTCTGTTCCAGTGTCTCAGCACCGTCACAGTAAAGAATTTCTTCCTAACATCTAGTCTCAGTGTACCATCTTCCAGTTTAAAGCCATTTCCCCTTGTCCTGTTGCTACATGCCTTCACAAGAAGTCCTTCCCCAGCTTTCCCTAGGCAGTGCTAAAGTAGGGAACAAAGGACGATACGTGTAGCTGATTCAGCGCTGAAAGGAAGTTTCTAACTTTGCTCCTTTACATACGAAACTAGATTTCCAGTTTCAGGAATGCAGCACGGCTCTGGATGAAACATAACTGAGGAATTCAAGTGCACTATGTTCATTGAACAAACACTTCCTCCTCTCCCCACTTGGCTGACCAGACATGTCAGACACACAGCTTGTACTTTAATTATAAGAACTCCAGAAGATCAAATTAGCCTCTTATCTCACCCTTACCCTTCCCTATCTTTATCCTACTGTGTGTCTTCCCACTGCCTTGAACTTTCTTTCCTTTCCCTATTCCTGCTGGCTGACAGTAGATCCTGCTCCAGTTCACGTGAGATGGTTTCACTTCACCCCTCATGCATTAACAGCTGGCTCTGGGAATCAAGAGAAACGTAGCAATTCTCATAAAATACATAACATAGTCCTCTAGAAATACAAACACACAAATTAAAAACAATTTCTCAGCCACATTGCAACAGTTGTACTATTATTGTGTAACTAAACAAGCTATATATTTAAACAATTCAATTTTAGAGCATTCAAAAATTAAGGCAAAGGTTATGGTCAAAAACATCAGAATATAATCATACCTTTTCTACATTGGATGAATTTTCCCAGATAACTACATTATATTTAAAAAGCAGAGGATTTAGCCACATTTTTCGGACCTGATTTGCTTCTGGAGGAGAAACCTTAATTTTAATGGCTCCATTTATGGACTGCAACGCTACTTCAGGGGGACCAATCTGAGCTGCAAATATGAAAAAGTCAAGTGTGACGAATGTTTAAAGGAAAACAAACCAACATTTAAATTACATTAATAATACACAGCTACTGTGATTTAGTATCTTACTTTCAACTCTTTCAATGCTGTAACAAAACTACAGGAATTGCCCACAGAAACTTAGTTTTAATTCTTCTCAGGCAGTAACTCACAGAAATCTGACCTAAAATATATGACAGTGTTGCCTGAAATTAAAATGCAGTACTACAACTGAACATTTTCTGTAAAGGAATGAAAAAGCTGGGCTGTATTTTAAAATAAGTAAGGCAAAAAACTTAGCTCAAACAAATCAATCCAGTAGTACTGCACAGTAGCCTTCCTTCACTATCCTATAATGAAAAGCCAAGAGGTCAGTAGATCTCCAGGAAAGCCCATTTCAGGGAGGTTTTATGGAATCTAAAAAGACAGAGTGATAGTAAGATCCCTCAGAAGAACAGCACCACCATCAATATTTTTCCCTTTCCAGAAAACACCTGTAAGTACCTTACATTACTTTAAGGTTGAAACAGTCACTAATTTACACTGTTGTAAGCGGAAGAAACGACATATAAGCCACAATAAAGTGCAGAAGGACATTTAACTAGATATGTTGCTATGTGTAAGGAGCTCATACCTATTTCATATGGAATCATTTCAAAAATGCTAGACCATGGAGACTTGTCTTCCCTTCTTTCAGCCCTTATGCGCATGTGATGCACATCGTAGTATGCAGTTATTGCTGAAGAAAAGTCACATTCCGTGTGACTGACATTCTGACAACCAGATAATTCCCTCCATTCTGGTTTATCTGTCTGAACATCATCAAAGCTGCGAGAAGAAGATAAAATAAAATAAAAATCAAAGCAATCTAAATCCTCAGTTTTCTTCACCTTCTTCTAAATGCTAAGAAGTATTAGTTTGCCTAGCATTTAGCACCAATTACACCGGTGCTGGTGATACCTATTTTGTCAGCCACAAGTTGATACCACCACTTAATTCATTACTTTAATCTAGCACTTTATCAGTTTAACCTCTTCACCCAAGAGTATCAGACTGTGCATACTGATAGCTAATCACTAGGTTTATTCAGCGTGTGAACACAGTGTTTGAGAACAGCAACAAAGAACTGTCAAAATCCAGAATTACTTCCTCTCTCAAATTTAGCTTGTGTGTGTTGAAACAACCTAGCTCAAAAAAAAGGAAAGAACCCCCAAAAACAGAGAAGAATCAATACATTTGAAAACTACATTTCCAAATGTACCATTTTATTGCCCAGTATTGAGAATTATTACTAAGTGTGCTCTGTGTTTATAACACATCCCTATCAGTAACAATCTAATTTTACATGTAAACTAGAAATATGAAGGACAACTCTTGGATTCTATGTCAAGAAATATCCTCCTAGCAGTTTTATGTGGCAGCATCAAGAAACATAAATCAGTCAGTAAACCAATTTGCTCTTCTGTAAAGCTCCAGGTCTGATACTTTGTGGCTCAGCATGAAGCTACTACTTACTACTGGTATTGTGCTGAAAACGTCACATTGGTACCATCCCCAGTGTAGTTCCACCTCAGGGTGAAATTTGTATTTACAGCATAAACCTGAATATCCTGAGGACTCTTCAGATCAGTCTGGCCTATAAAAAAAAGACAATATCAAGCTATATAAGGATTGGGATAAGTAATTCTGACACAGTATAAGGAGAAACCACTTTTGTTAAAAAGAGTGACAGTGAAATAATTATCCCCCTACCTCCCTTTCAAAAGCACATGCAGTCATAACATTCATCACATGAAGTTCACTGCTACGGGTGATTACAAGCAATCTGAATGCTTTTATGCCATATTTTATTGGTTGGATCCAACATCTGGAGCTCAGCTGCAAACCACTTGGGACTGACCTAATGCTCTCATTTCACAGCTGTGGAACAGACACTGCGTCAGACTTTGTGCCACACATTACAGCCACAAAATCAATGCACGGCCTTGAATATAACTCCCATTCAGTGAGGTTTCCTCTCACAGCAGGTTTTCTACCTCTCTTAAGTCCTATGTTTTCTTTTACCCAAGGAACAGCACATAAAATGACATATGGAGGGCAAGGGTTAAACCTGAGGACACGTATAAGAGTGATTAAAATGTCAAGGGAAAGAGCAGTCCACGAGAGAAGAACTAACCTCTGTCAGGGAGATAGCTAACAGGAGGCAATATTAGATATGGATTAAAAGTGTACAAACTAAAATCAGGAAGCTTTGTGAAAAAAAGATTACAGATTAATCACTGAAATGAACATTTCAAAAGGGTTTTTTTTTTTTTTGGTGGGACGATATTAGAGGAACAAAGGGAACATTTGTCAAAAAATTTGCTTGTTCAGTAGGGGTCATGCTGGCACATTGCCTTCATATAAATCTAAGCAGTATACAATCATAGAATTGTTTAAGTTGGAAGGAACCTTTCAAAGGCCATTTGGTCCAAACCTCTGCAATGAGCAGGGACACCCGCAGCTCCATCAGGTGCTCAGAGCCCATCCAGCCTGACCTTGAGTGTCTCTAGGGACAGGGCATCCACCACCTCTCTGGGCAACCTGTTCCACTGCCTCACCACCCTTACTGTAAAAAACTTCTTCCTTTATTTAATGTAGACCTCCCCACCTTTACTTTGAAACAATTTTCCCTTATCGTATCACAACAGGCCCTGCTTAAGAGTCTGTCCCCTACTTTCTTGTAGCCCCTGTACCACAGGCTATGCTTTTACCCTATCTAAAAATGGCATATAACAGCATTAACTATATTTGGTAGTTTTGCAGAAGCTCACTATAGGAACGTAATCTCCTTCAAAAGCAGCAGAATGGGTAAGGAAGCACACTGGGATGAGGACGTTAGCTTACATACACAACTTTCCCTCCCTTCCTCTTCTCCCTCCCCACCCATGGGTTTTATTGTAAGAGAAACAGTTCAAAAGCTTTTCCAACCATAGCGTAGGATTGAAGGCTGGTATGATGTGGCACAGGAAAGCGTGTGATGTTTTGGGAAATGGACTTAAGTCTATCACAAAAGATGCCAAGCTATACTTCCTCACAGGAATTGCTGCATTTTGAGGCCTATCTGAACAAGCAAGTTCACAGCCAGTGGCAGAAACCATTCTGGTATAAATTCTCCAAATCCAGAAGAGAAGCAAATCACTCTGAACTGCAACGCAAGCCTTTCTGATGGTTGGATAGTGAATTCAGAAGGAACAGGTTTAGTAACAGGCCCAAAAACAGATTATCATGAGCTTCAGGTTTGATTGCCTCTTTTCTCTGGGAACTTCCTCATGCAAGCTGGAACAACACTGACCCCAGCTTGACACTGATTCTTTTGTAATCCTCACAAATTGCTGGAACCAGGCACTAAGAGCTGCTTTCAGAGGCCAAGAAGCATCAAAACAGGCAGCTCTGCTCTGCACAAATGAAACTGCCGCTTCATTGAGCACTTCATCTGTAGGACTTCCTCCCTTTGGACTGCATGTGCTCAACTCTTGCCTGGTTTATGAAATGAGTCAAACACACAACCTCAGTGCTACAAGCTGCTGTCCCATTATGCTGCAGGTATCACAATGTATTTGCTGCTGTTTTCTTTCCTGTTCTGCTGCCAGCTGCTGCTGCAGACCAACACTGAACCAGATGGCCTTTTGGCTTCAACAGATGCAAAATGTAAATACAGAAACAGAACACTAAAACCCCACAGCACTCGTACATCTGTCCTGAATGTGATTAGGCATCTTCCTCCACGTCCTGGCTGGAAAAACAGATTACTACTTTACAAAGCTCTCCTGATCCTCAGAGGCAAACCTGACAACTCGATCTAACACCTTCACGAGGAAATCAAATTTCTTATGCGAGCTTAAATAACTATTCATTGAAGGTTCCAAGCCCCAGTTATCCTGCTCACTCCATCTCCTGCTTTCATTTTCCCATGTAAGTAAAACGTACTAGCTTTGTGAATAATTATCATTCTTGTCTTACACATTCTCTCCAAACAAACTCCCTTGGAACAACGTAACTCACCAGCCACAGTGCTATAGCTGTGTTCTATAAATGAAGACCAGCCTCGCAGAAAACGTCTCAATCTTTTCATTCTAATTAGCACTGCTACACCCCAGCACTTTTCGAGTTTCCCCCAGTATTTCAGGTTGATTTAACATTGTTCTCAATAACACAGATGTGCATAGGCGATCCACACCTATCCTTTCGCACAATAATCCCTACTTCCAGTGTTTTGTGTTTGCTTCCCTAAAGGAATTATTTCCTAAATTCCAATAAAGAATAACCATGGAGTCAAGGAGTAAATGCAGCAACACTTGATTCCCAGAGAAATCTCAAGATTCAGTTAGAAACCCAGTGTGCAAAGCAATACTTATTCCAAAGGCTCTGATTTCTTTGCTTAATTCAATGACAAAAAGAAAGCACCTCTCCCCAGACCCTCAGTTTCTTCACTACCAAATTAGTTCAACATTCCTATCTCAGGGAGAACAATCAACCAAAAAACACCCTTTAAAGGTCATCACAGAATTGTTTGAGTTCAAAGGAATCTTTCAAAAGCCATCTGGTCCAACCCCCCTGCAATGAGCAGGGGGACAAACAGCTTCTTTAGGTGCTCAGAGCCCATCCAGCCTGACCTTGAGTGTCTCTAGGAACGGGGCATCCACCACCTCTCTGGGCAACCTGTTCTACTGCCTCACCACCCTTACTGTAAAAAACTTCTTCCTTATATTTAATGTAGACCTCTCCACTTTTACTTTGAAACAATTTTCCCTTATCGTATCACAACAGGCCCTGCTTAAGAGTCTGTCCCCTACTTTCTTGTAGCCCCTGTACCACAGGCTATGCTTTTACCCTATCTAAAAATGGAATATAACAGCATTAACTATATTTGGTAGTTTTGCAGAAGCTCACTATAGGAACGTAATCTCCTTCAAAAGCAGCAGAATGGGTAAGGAAGCACACTGGGATGAGGACGTTAGCTTACATACACAACTTTCCCTCCCTTCCTCTTCTCCCTCCCCACCCATGGGTTTTATTGTAAGAGAAACAGTTCAAAAGCTTTTCCAACCATAGCGTAGGATTGAAGGCTGGTATGATGTGGCATAGGAAAGCGTGTGATGTTTTGGGAAATGGACTTAAGTCTATCACAAAAGATGCCAAGCTATACTTCCTCACAGGAATTGCTGCATTTTGAGGCCTATCTGAACAAGCAAGCTCACAGCCAGTGGCAGTAATCATTCTGGTATAAATTCTCCAAATCCAGAAGAGAAGCAAATCACTCTGAACTGCAACGCAAGCCTTTCTGATGGTTGGATAGTGAATTCAGAAGGAACAGGTTTAGTAACAGGCCCAAAAACAGATTATCATTAGCTTCAGGTTTGATTGCCTCTTTTCCACTGCCTCACCAATCTTATGGTAAAAAACTTCTTCCAATCTAAATCTCCCTTCTTTTAGTTTGAAATCATTTCCTCTTGTCCTCTCTCAGCAGACTCTTACCTGGAGTACTGTGTCCAGGTGTGGAGCCCTCAGTACAAGAAAGACAGAGAGATCTTGGAAAGGGTCCAGAGGAGGGCGACTAAGATGATCAGGGGGCTGGAGCACCTCCCCTATGAGGACAGGCTGAGGGAGTTGGGCTTGTTCAGCCTGGAGAAGAGAAGGCTGCGGGGTGACCTCATTGCAGCCTATCAATACCTGAAGGGAACCTACACCCAGGAGGGGAGTAAACTCTTCAGAAGGGCTGACAACAGCAGGACTAGGGGAAATGGATCCAAGTTGAAGGAGGAAAGATTTAGGTTGGATGTTAGGGGGAAGTTCTTCACAAGGAGAGTGGTTAGGCCCTGGAACGGGCTGCCCAGGGAGGTTGTGGATGCCCCGTCCTTGGACGTGTTCAAGGCCAGGTTGGACGGGGTCCTGGGCAACCTGATCTGAATGTGTACGTTTGGTGGCCCTGCTAGGCAGGGGGGTTGGAACTACATGACCCTTGAGGTCCCTTCCAACCCAGGTGATTCTGTGATTTCTGTGATTCTGTGTCTATCCCTTTCTTTCTTACAGACCTCTTTTAGCCTCTGAAAACCTACTCATCAACTTTCCACATATTTCAGTTCCCTGGTATTTGCTATGAATCGCCCATGTGAATACAAGAAATAATACCTTCTAGCTTGTGGTAACACATATGAAGGGACAGAGTTTGCTGAAGATGGCAAGACTCACAGTGCACTGCTGTTACTTACTGATAAGCCCGTGGAAGGATTCACCACATCAACTAATTTCCGTTTTGCAGCCCTAGGAAAAGCAGCTGTCTTATAAACTTCTTCTGAATCTTTAAATACTGTTTTTAAACCAATTGTCAAACTAAAAGTTGAGATGATACACCATTCATCTCAAAAGGGAAACATTCTAACAGAAATGATTACTTTTGCTCTCCTATCTGAATTATAAGGGCAAGCACAGTGTGAAAGTACACAATTACATGTCCTACTCCATGACTGCTGCAGTGCTGCCTGCTAGCAGCTGTAAGGAGCTCGGCAACAGCCTGTCACTTATCATGTGTGGGTTAGAATCTACCACGGAAACTCTGTCTCAGCCTTTCAGCACCAGGCCTGTTACGTGTGGGTATGGAAGACAGAAAGAAAGACACAACCAAACACAGCAGAGGCAGCCCGACTGCTGCTGACTCTGCGGGCAGAAATGGTGCTCTAAGGCAGCGGGGTTATCACCAGGGCTTTGAGACTGAGGAACCGCTGGGCAGAACTGAGCAGAATGTGCCAGGTAAATGCAGCCCAGCAGCCACTTCTATACACAGAGGCAGCACATGGCATGCCAATTACTTTGTGCACTCTGTGTGGGTTAACTGAAATAGCTGCAGGTAGCACAGCGCTGACAGCCCGGGTTGGAACTTGGAATGAATTCACAAACCAAAGGGCTGGAAAGGGAAAGAGAAGTCGCGGAGCTGCTTTTCCACCCCGGCCCTGCCCCAAAGGCACAGTGCAGACCCCAGAAAGCAGTATCCGGTCTTCCGTCATGTTACTGCCCGTGAGATCATGTCCTGAAATCCAGCAGCGTTGTTTCCCTCGATTCCCTACTTACACTTCAGGCTCCGAGGCGCCTTCGCAGCAAGTTAACGGGATCCCGAAGCCCGTTTCCCACACACCGACTCGCAGCACGCAGACACGAAACAAGCATCCCCCCCTTCCCGCCTTCCCCTAAGCGCCCCAAAGCCCGGCGACGGCAACCGGACAATCTCGGAGCGAGGGGCTCCACGGCCGCGCCGCCCCCACCTCGCTCCAGGCACGGCTCCAGCTGCCCCCCCCGCCGCCGCCGCGCCATGCTCACCTGCACAGCGCGGGGACATCACGACCAGGAGACAGAGCAGCACAGTTGCTGACGGCCCCACGACACACGCCGTCCCAGCCATCAGCCCGTGGCAGCACTCACCCGTACCGGAAACCTCTAGCGACTGCGCATGCGGTCTGCCCCGCCCGCCAAGATGGAGGCGGTGCCGTGCGGGTGTGTTGTGAAGTTTGGGTGGCCGTAGGGGCCGTTCATGCAGCTCAGGCGAAAAGGGGCTCTTGCGACAGGGTGCCCGCTACTGCTTACTGACGAAGAACATTCAGGGAACCTCAAGACGGATTGTGTCACACACAGAGAAGGAACCAATCCGTTGTTCAACAGTTAGGCCTGTTTCATAAAATTATAGAATCATTAAAGTTGGAAAAGACCACTAAGATCATTCAGTCCAACCACCAGCCCACCCCCCCCCGCCCACTGCCCACGTCCCTCAGTGCCACATCCACACGGCTCCTGAACACCTCAGGGACGGTGACTGCACCACCTCCCTGGGCAGCCTGTGCCACTGCAGCACCGCTCTTGCTGAGAAGAAATTGTTCTTAATATCCAACCTGAACCTCCCGTGGCACAAGTTGAGGCCATTCGCTATTGTCCTACAACTGTTACATGAGAGAAGACCCCTAACCTCACCACAACCTCCTTTCAGGTGGTTGTACAGAGCAATAAGCTCTCCCCTGAGCCTCTTGCTCTCCAGACCGAACAACCCCGGCTCCCTCAGCTGCTTCCCGTCAGACTTGTGTTCCAGACTGCTCACAGCTCCGTTACCCTTCTCTGGACACACTCCAGGGCCTCCATGTCTTTTCTGTAGTGAGAGGCCCAAAACTGAATTCAGCACTCAAGATGTGGCCTCACCAGGGCCGAGTACAGAGGAACAATAAACACCCTGGTCCTACTGGCTGCACTGTTCCCCCCCTGGGCAGCCTGTTCCAGTGCTCCGTCACCTCACTGTAAAGAAGTTCTTGCTCACATTTGTGCAGAACTTCCTATGCTGCAGTTTCCGGCCGTTTCCCCTTGTCCTGTCTCCACTCACCACTGAAAAGAGTCCGGCCGCACCACTCTGCCCCCCACACCTCAGATATTTATAAACCTGGATCAGGTCCCCTCTCAGTCTTCTTTTCTCAAGGCTGAACAGACCCAGTTCACTCAGCCTTTCCTCATAGCAGAGATGCTCCAGGCCCTTCACCATCTTTGTGGCCCTCCGCTGGACTCTTTCCAAGAGATCCCTGTCTTTTTTGTACTGGGGAGCCCAGAACTGGACGCAGTACTGCAGATGAGGCCTCACCAGGGCAGAGTAGAGGGGGAGGATCACCTCCCTCGACCTGCTGGCCACGCTCTTTTTAATACACCCCACAATGCTTTCAGCCAAACCTGTGGATAAAAGTGTTCCTAGTTGCTCTTGATGCATTTTCTGCTGTGGGATGCTACGTATACTCAGAGCATGCTTAATAAGCCTAAGCTTCCAATGCCATGGAAGAAACCATCCTACAATCAATGAATTGGAAAGGAGACCAAAGCCCACCCACCCCAATCCCTCCCATGGGCAGGGCTGCCCCCCACAGCTCAGCTGCCCACGGCCCCATCCAACCTGGCCTTGAGCACCTCCAGGGATGGGGCACCACAGCTTCTCTGGGCAGCTGTGCCAGCTGTGCATAAATGTAGCTTTGTTCTGTTTGGCCTGTAGCTTTTAAGAAATACTTAAGGATTGCTAAAGGGTAAGATACAAAAATCTTTGCTTCTCCAACCGGTGAGCAACCAGTAACCAGAATGCCATTTTTGTTTGTTCATCTGCCACTACTGCTGTTATTTAACTGACATTAAGAATTCTTCTTTTTAAAAATTACAGTGCAACTCCTCTTAAATGCAGATTTGAACAATGGGGACCAAGAAACATTACTAGGCATATGATCGACGACTGAAGACATAAACCAGTGAAACAAGTTGAGAAGATGTATGTGCCAGTATAGTGCCACCTGGAAGACAGCCATTGATTATACTGCAGAAAGATGCCTGTATCTCAGTCATATTCCACATGTTCCCAAAAAGGTGAGTAAAAATGAGATACTATGAAATTGGTATTGTCAGAAACATCAAAACTAGATTAATAAGAAAAAATCAGTGCCATTTTTTTCTAACTGTGCATATGAAATCCAGAAGATATTGATCCATGTAAATCACAGAATCATAGAATCAAAGAATCATAGAATGGCTTGAAGGGCCCTTGGAAGGGCCCTTGAAGACCATCCAGTTCCAGCTGCCTGCCATGGGCAAGGTTGCCATCCACTGGGTTATTGAATGAATGTATAGCTTTAGCCAGATCGAGGATGTAAAAGCTGCAAACCTGTACTATCAAAAAGACTGATAATTAAGAGTAGTCTGATACAATTACAGTGAGGATTTATAAGATGTTGTGAATAACCATGTCGTTTGAAGCGTACGTGTCTAATGCCATCTGGTGTGCTACAAGGACAATTTCTTGAAAGAATTGTGGAGTTGTTAAGCAATCAATGTATGCTTAATTTCAGGTTTCTACTGTTAATTTATTTTGATCGATAAATATGCAATGCAACACACACGTAATGCAGAAGTGTATTTATTGTGTAGCAGAACGGAGCGATCAACAGAATTGTTAGGCTATTAAGTACCACTCAGTAGGAGCCGTCACGGTCATCATGTGGCATAGTGAACAGGTAATCAGTGAGGAGAAACTGTTGTAATGAAAATAACGGAGTAGGACATGATCTATCAAATATCATCAGCTTCACCACAACTTCCTGTGTAATTTTGTGTAAACAGGTGTTCTTTCTGACAAGGGCTATTTATCCTTTTCATGTAACTGAAGAAGAAGAAATAGTGGAAGACAGCTACTGTCTGATAGGGTCAGACTGAGCCTGTACCAGACAGCACCTCCCTGTCACGAGGTGGATGTTGCTGCATGTAAACAGCAGTCTTGACCACAGGGGTTGCTCAACTCCTTCCCAGGAGTGCTGATTTTGCTGCACGTGTGCACATCATTTGTACAACATGGGCACACGAGGTTCAGTGTTTAGTGAAAGTGCCATCTTTTGTGACACACATGCACTTACAGAAAGAGTTATGCAGACACCTCTATTTTTCTTTTGTGCCTATTGCCTGCAGCTGTGCAGATCTAAGCAACACCTGCAGGCAGCTGCTTCATGCTGCTTTTGCAGCTTCCTGCACACCCATACACTCTTGAAACCAATGTAGGCAGCAGGCTATGGGCTCTGGGGGCTGATGAGAAGGCGGCTCTGGACAAAAGAACACTTTGGTGGCTGAGAGAATGTGAGTGCCAGCTCTTGGCTAGCACGGTCACAAAGTGCTAATGCTAACAGATATATTTAGTACCCTTCTTCTTTTTTCAGTCTTGGAGGAAATCTGTGCCCTTTAAAGTTATGAGATGGCTGCAAGAATTATGCAAGATGTGTTCTTGCAGGATGTAGAGCATTCCGGTACTAAAATGATGAGGCTGGTTAAAAGCATCCATAAAGCAGAAGTATTCAGGTCTGTTCGGCTGTGGAAGCCTTACCAGAAAAAAAAAAAAAAAAAAAAAAAAAACAAACAACCAAAAACCATTTCCTTCTGCAATCAACAGTGGGCAACTACTGCAATAAGTGACAGGTTATGATCTAGCCTGTAGGAGATCAGTGCTTGGATATCACATGTTTTTAGGATAATATATTGTTTGCAGATCATTTCTGACCTTGACCCAGATTTATCATTTTTATGATTTCTTATCTTGTGTGAAGACGGTTTATAGGAAACCATTTTTATGGCACCCTTACTTATATCAGTCACATTTCACAGTAACCACCTTGCAGTCAAAGATCATAAAACAAATTACAGCAAGCTCACTAGCTTTTTACTGTTGGAAATATTCAGTAATCTAATATAAAAGCCACAACATTCACAGTTTATGTTCCGGTAAGTTTGAATGCAACTTTCTCACAGGTGACACAGAAAAAAGAAACAGAAACCGGTGTTGATAAAATCTGTTCTATGAGAAGCTCTATCTCCAGTGTGCAGGCAGCCAAACAGCAGGGAAGATAATGTGTGCTCCTATGGTCATGAATGTCAGTCCTAAAGCACATGTGCTATGGAGGAAACCAAGCCAGGCAGGCTCCACTGAATTTATTTCTGTTGGCTGACAGGCAAATGACAAATCATTCCCTTGTTTCTTCTCACGTCAATTCTGGAACAGGATAAAAGAAGCAAATGCGGCATTTCATCTTGCTTGAAAAGTGTAGAAACATGAGATCAGGAAGGAAGGACTTAGGAAGCCAGCTGCATGTTGTAGAGCCCCGGAGGCAGGCTCTTTTGTCTATCCCTTTCTCAATGGACTTTTGCTTTTAGAGTCAGGTTTTCTGCCACTTCTCAGGGAACATCTCCCATACTTTTTCTGTTCTCATCGTTAGAAATCTTTTCCTCATATCTGTCTTGTTTCAGTCTTAAAACTGCTTTCATGTCTGTCATGGACATAGAGGTGAGATTTATTCATTTCCTGTTTTCAAAAGTCTCTCACATATTTGAAGACTGTCATGTCAGCATAAGTCTTTTTTTATTAGACCACACTGTGCTGGCTCTTTTCACTAACCTTCACAGAGCTTTTTGTCCTCCTCCTGATTTTTCCCAGCTCTGGATGTAGCTCTCTAGCTCTCACTGGTAGTGGGGAAGATTGTCTCACACATTACATGTACTATTCTGTGGTCTGTACATTCTCTGTGGCATTTACCTCTTTCACAACAGTGCACTGTTGACTCATTTGTAGCCTGACCCAATATAAGCTCTGTTTTCATCTTCTTCCAGCTAAACTAATTTTCCTAGTCTGTGACGGCATCTGGTAAGACATGGAAACTCTTACTGAAGTCAGAATACAACCAACTGCTTCTGCCATGTGCAGAAGTTTGCTGATGTTCACTGACAGGAATTCAATCATTTTCTTTTTGTTAATGCATTGATATTCTGCAGCTGAATGTTAGTTTCTCTACATCATTTTGAAAGCTAAAAACTTTATGAGTGAAGTGCACACTCAAAAAGCCTGCCTGCTCCCTTCCCAGCACAGTGCTTGCACATTTGGGCCCCATTTCTACATTTCTTGAAGAAAGTGTA